AAATAATTATTTAATACATATTATTAATCTTAATACATATTAAAAAATATTAAAAGTTGGAGGAGAGATATACAACAAGAAAAACAATGGAAAGGCGTTGCATATGAAGTATTTTGGATATTAACGCAAAGCAGTTCTTCAGTGAAGTTCAAAGCTTATCCTTTACAAACAAGTGTGCCATTAAAGATCTGCAACCAGAAGAGTTACTTTGAAAATATGTTACGAGAATATTTACGAATTGACTTTGATCTGTTGCTTCATATAGAACAATGGAAAGCAGCACATCAACATTTTACAAAAATGGATTCTAAGTTAACAGCAGTGCGAGTTCTGAAGCAAGAGCCTTTCGAAAATGTAGTATCCTTTATTTGCAGTCAAAACAATCATATTGGAAGGTTTGTTTTCCATTATTAGTTTATAATGATTATAATGACTTTTTGTATATTAAAGAATTTCATCTATGGTACGTTGGATTTGCACAAAATATGGCACGAAAATTGGTCATTTTGATGGAGCAGATGAATACACTTTTCCTACATTAAGCCAATTATTACTACACCAAAATGAAGTATTAATTTTTCAAACTATAAACAAATTAGAAGTGTGCTAAAAGTTTAATTCATAGTTGGAATCGACGTTAAAAGAAGCTAAATTTGGTTACAGAGCTAAATATATATCTCAAGCAGTTAAAAAGATTCATGAAAATGGTGGTAATAATTATTTAAATGGATTAAAAAGTATACCGTATTACGAAGCACGCTCAGAACTATCAAAAATATCTGGAATTGGTCTAAAATGTGCAGATTGTATTTGTTTAATGTCGTTAAATCATTTAGAAGCAGTTCCTATCGATGTTCATATGTTCAAGACAGCGAAGACCTCATACATGCCACATTTATCTACGTCTAAAACAATGACAACAAAAATTTATAATGATATTGCAAATCATTATCGTTCCATATATGGACCTTTCGCTGGATGGGCTCAAGCAGTTTGTATTAAGTTTTGTGATTTTGAAATAAAATAATTATAAAGTTCTTTTTCTCTACAGGTTCTTTTTTGCTCCAGTTTACAACAGTCTAAAGTCAAAGTTGGAAATAAACTCACTAAATCGAAAGTAATAAAAGCAAATAGATAATCTAAATGCATATAAATTTTGTATAATTTGACTTTGTTTATTCTGTTTAATACATAAAAAAATTTAATTAACTTTCTAATTAAGTTTTAATTTTTATACTTATATATAATATTTAAAATGTCTTTGTTCATCAGTCTACTTAGAATTAAGATCTTAGGTTATTTTTAAAATTTTTTAAATTTGTTTTCAATCGAACAACTTTTACGATCGACAGAAAGTTATTCGTAATTTGGAAAATATTAATACAAATAAAAAAGATTTAATGGAATTAAACTTAGTAGTCGAATGCCACTCGTCACCTACGACGACCAAGTACCGTTCAATACCTCTCAAAGGGACTCCACAAGCAGGTCCCGGCGGTTTACAACAACAACACTTCTCAGCGATTCGCAGGAAAGTATGAAAAACGCTTCTCACAAACGAATTATTCTTCATGACAATACATCTTTCATCACTGAACATCACTTTGTATCCTAAGCTAAAAAACGTTAAATTTTCTTTGTTTGATCTTTTTTTTTAAGTTAATTTTTAGTTATCACATCCAACTGTTTTAAATTATGAATAAAACCACGACGAGCTTAATCGTTCTTATTGTAATTATAACTATTAATCTCAGTACATGGCTAAAACAAGATGAAGAATTGCATTTCTTTATATTAAATATATTAATACCATATTTCTATTTTTAAATTAACTAAAAATAATCTACATTAGGTAAATCATTAAAGGAATGTTTGGTTAAGAAGCGCTGACTCTGCGCTTCAAACTTGGCAGGGCACGATTTCGATTCTGGTATTTGCAGAGTCAAAAAAATTATTTACGAATAATTAAATGCAAGAATTATTTCCAAGATTACTGATGATGGGTATTTGGCAATACTCAAAACAGCTGTATGGTCAGCCAAATATTCAATTAATTAAAATAATATAAAAATATTTTTTGTTGTTGTAGCTTACTACTATTCGAAACTTCTCTAATAATTATTTTATTTAATTAAATATGCATATTAAATATTATACGATTTCCAGGTAATTAGGACCAATGGCGTATTCGTTTTGCACTATTACACCTAGTTTCTGATATTTAATTTTACTCTAACTCATCCGAGTTACTCCTATAAAGTTCGTGATAGAGTTTAATATAGTTTTAAAATAATTTAAGAAGGTCAAAATTAAATTCGAAAAAAAAAAACATAATTCATCAATTTTTTTTTTAAATGTTATTTGATCAGCGAAATAAGATTTAAGACAATCTTCAACAGGATCTAAGTGTATTGTAAGTATCAGAAAATTGAAAATACTTCACCACAACTAGGTGGAAATAATGTGGCATGTCGATTGCTCCTACTGCAGTTTTTCCATTTAACTATATAACCATTTATGTCGGGGAAAATCAAGCAATACTGCCCATGAAGTGCGACTTATATTCAATTATTTGTAAAGTGTTTGCTATTTCAAACAAAAAAATAAAATACTATGCTCGGTAACTGGTTAAAATTTTTATAATACTCATTTCAAAACATTATCTGATCAAAAATAAGACAAATGGTTTCCGAAATCGCTGATACCAGTATTTGAACTGCCTTTTTAACTGTAGATGAAGCAGCTAACCGTGAGAGATTTATATGAATATTAATTAAATTTAAAGCAATAATATACATAGGTATGTTTAAATTTTTTAAAGGGCTTTTTGAATAAATGAATTGTCAAACAAGAAAAAACTTTGAAACATTGGCAATATATTTATAAAAGTAAACTATAAAAAATAAATTAAAAATACAATGTATAAAATAATCTTTTATTTAAGTTTAAAACAGTACATCTGAATCAAAATTTCGTGTCTAGACGTTCAGTTACTAATTGGAGTCAACAAAGTGGGGCATCAAAAGTTGCATTCTGTCACTATCATGAGCCTATAACCAACTGTGGCTACAAAAACAGTATATTGCCTTCAGTATATTGTCGGCATATTATTCACTGCTGAAACTTAAATTCAAAGATCAACATTACAAATAAGTACGAGGAGTCCACGTATCCATTTCTTAGGTATACAGCAACCTCGTATCCCGCCAGGGAGCGGTGACAAATATATCATCCACTGCGGCATGCATAAGAACAGTACGTCCCCTGACAGCGTCGAAACTCTCATGCACCTTCCAGACATTAATGACGACTAATCACTAGAGACACGATTAAAATAGGCCTAACATAACATGTAACCTTATCAAATACATTTACATAAATATATTACAAATTATACATTATATATTCTTGCCAATATCCATCTGTATTTACGTTTATTATGAAAGTATCATTATAGTTAACCAATATCAACAGATATTTGAGAAATTAATAACCGTCTGTCAATCTATAAGGTTTCAGTGACGCGTTTCTCATAGGAAACGCTATAGGCTCATCAGAGTGGGGAATCGTTTAGGAATTAAGTGAGTTTATTATTAAAGTCTAGCTCCGCAAATAATTAGTACGCATCAATAAAAATGGATCTTAAAACAACATAATATCATATATGCTGTATTATACCAAGTAAAAATATTGTTCTAAATTAAAAGCTAAGAATAAACTTTTATTTAATAGGTTCATGGTACATTTTTTGTATATTTTTAATTCTAATTTAGTAATTATCACTTTGAACACCAACGAACTGCAGAAACTATAAAATGAATATATTAATAATAATAATGTGTATTATAGTATTTTTCTATAAATACGCCCTTATTTGCACACTACGCTCACCAGTGTCTTATTCTTTTAAAGTGTGTTAACAATATAGATAAAATTTATTAGTATTTTTTAATAAATTAAATTGAAACAATACATACTTTAAACGATTTGTTTGAATTTGTTTACAAAGGGTTAGCAGTTCAAGAAATTTTTATATGCTACTCTCGATTTGCGCAGGCAAATTTATATAAATATAAACCAAATACTATAGCACATATTATATTATTAATGTCATAATTTAAACTTAAATGAAAAATATAACAATATAGATAATATCACTTCTATCATTTATGGTTCACCATTTTAAACAATCATGTTAAAAGGACGAAAACATTTCAACATACGAGCGTTATCTACCTCAACACAGTCCTACCAGTGGAGAAGACATAAATTTTTATAAGGCACAATGAATGAATTAAACTATGATCTACTAAATTTAATAAACATTCAGTAGAAAAAATATATATCTATATTTGTATTCTTGGTTATAATAAATTTAACTAAGTTTTATAGAGTTCTCTTAATTTCATCTATTTTCGTTGATTTAATGCAGCTACAAATCAAAGAAGTGATTCCATTATTTGATGAAACCTTACGAAAGCAATTTGCTCCATCAAACATTTTTTAGTGAATAACACACGAAAATATTTTAATTATTTATTTGAGAATTCTATAGATTCTACGGTAACCCTGAGCATTTAATAAGCAATTACACATAATTTTATATGCATTCATAATATTTATTATATAAAAACGAACATATCAAAAATGTAAGGATCAATAGTTTTGTGTATATAGTGTGATTAATTTATTGTGTTGTCATACAATTTAGTTTGTCTCCATTTCCTTTAGTACAGCACCAGCAATAACTAATCTTTGTATTTCAGATGTTCCCTCATAAATTTCAGTTATTCGTGCATCGCGATAATGACGTTCAGCGGGCATGTCTGTAACATAACCCATACCACCTAAAACTTGTATACATTGATGAGAACAATAGGTAGCTGCTTCAGATGCAGCTAACTTAGCCATAGCCGCTTCTTTACTAAATGATTTTTTATTATCCTTTAACCAAGCAGCTCGCCAAGTAAGCAATCGAGCTGCTTCCACACGAAGTGCCATATCCGCTAGTTTTTGCTGTATTGCTTGTAATTTTGATATTGGCTTTCCAAATGCATTTCTTTTCTGGGCATATTCACATGCAACCTCTAAAGATGCCTGAGCAATTCCTAAAGCCTGTCCAGCAACGCCTATTCGACCAGCGTCGAGCGACTGCATAGCAATTTTAAACCCATATCCAGGATCTCCCAATAAATTTTCTTTTGGTATAACACAGTCTTCGAAAATTAATTGGCACGTGGACGACGCACGTATACCGAGTTTGTCTTCTTTTTTGCCTAATGAAAATCCTTTAATATTCTTTGGTACTATAAAGGCTGAAATGCCCTTATG